CTGTTGAATGATGATGCACGGAGGAGATTGTAATCATTGCAATGATGGGATGAGTGTAAAGCTGATGTTCCCCCATGAAAACTATCATTCAATTCAAAATAAAAACTAAAAAAAAAAAGAAAAATAGAACACTGCCAAACAAGCAGTTTCCTTGGGATAAAGAGATTTAACTTTATTTTAGACATATTATCACTGTTGATGTCTGTCCTCTATGCAGAGCTGAGCTCCCTGCACATTGGATCATATTCTCAGTGCCTAGAGCAATACAGACATTTAATAATTGTTGACTGAACCAAATACAAACCCACACATTTTTATAAAATGCTGCATACCTACATTTCACAAAAATTACCTCTCTTCCCTTACAGTTAACTCTCTTCATCCAAATTCTAGATTCTGATGATCTATTCTAAAAAATTTCAAATAGCAGCTAAATGTTCTAATACTCACACTGAAGTTACACTAATCAAGCACACTACAAATGAATTTATCAAAAAAAAAAAAAAGAATTTCTAGACAAACAGCATACTGATTAATTGGCAAGAAGAGAATATGCACTTACTAAAATACACACAGAATGTTCATACTTGCCATTTGACCCAATTATGAGTGCTTAGAAACTAGGAGGTCTAACAGCTATTTAAAATTCCCTGTTTTATCAATCTCTATCATTCTGGAAGGAGCCCTGGTTGAGTAGCGTTTAAGTGCTGTGCTAACTGAAAGGTTAACAGTTTGAATCCACCAGCTGCTCCATGGGAGAACGATGTGGCAGTGTCCTTGTGTAAAGAAGCACTGGAAACCCCAATAGGACAGTTCAACTGTCTTACGGGGTCATTATGAGTTAGAGTCAACACTATGGTAATGGGTTTGGTTTTCTTGGTTATCACATGGAGTAAACTTAACATGTACTTATTCCTTTGATCTTTACGTTTACTGAGCTACTTTTGGACAACAACAGAATCAAAGAGCATTGACAGTGAGAAGTTTCAAGCTTGACTCTACTGGTGAGTGATCTTGGGTACGGTACATTAGTCACTCCACATGACCAACTGTACAAGTAGTTTTGTACATTGTATTTTACATAGCCCTGGTGGCATAGTGGGTTATGTGTTGGGTTCACTGCAAGGTCAGCAGTTTGACTCACCAACTGCTCCACAGGAGAAAGATTAGGCTGTTTGCCTCTGTAAAGATTTATAGTCTTGAAAACCCTAGGGGCAATTCTACGATGCCCTATAGCATTGCTATGAGTTGGAATTTACTCAGTGGCAGTGGGTTTGGGGTTTGTTTGGTTTTTTTTTTTGGCGGAGCAGACAAAACAGGGACTAAGTATTTTTAAATATTAGAGATCACCATCATGAGAGAGAAAAATAATCTATCAAGAAAATAAACTCCATTACTTACTGTGCCCTACCGCTTTCCTGCCAGTGCTAAGATAAAAGTTAATGCCAAATACCAAACTCCAGTGCCATATGAAACAGAGAATTCTTTTAACTGTCTTCAAACAGAATGACAGAAGTGAAAGAAATCTAAAGTGATCTTTTCCTGAAGACAACAGATAAATGTTTAACCAAGTACTCCAGAGAGAGGAGCTTACTACCACAGGGACTCACTGGTTTCTGTTTGTCAAGGAACTACACTGTACTAATTATTTAAGTGTCCTTTAATTCGATTTTGGGTTTTGGAATATCAATCAGGATTGGAAGTTACTTAGGGGTTTTTTTGGGGGGAGGGTGAGGAGTAGATGGAAGCAGTCAAGGATCTTTAAGTAGGATTACTGAAAGAAGCACACGGCACATGATACCTACTGGCCCTGTTTTTAATAGTAATTAATGCCTGGAAACTTTATGGTAAATTACAGTAATAAAAGCAAATTCATTTCACTAGAGCAAAGCAGTTACAATTTTCACCACTACATTAGTCTGCTTTATGGAAGAAATGAACCAGGCAAAATGGGCAAGCTTTGGAAAAAACAGGAGGGTAGGGGAATGAAGGCACCCAGATAAGACCAACAACAGGAACAGTTCCAAAGCAGGAATTCAGCACTGATTGCAGGTCCAATACAGTCAGGCAAGGGGTTAGGTTCCAAAGATGAGCTGAATGGTGTGAAGTATGTAGTTCCTTGCCTTAACTGAGCCCAGGGACATTAACTGACAGGAAAGAAATGGAAAGTAATAAAAAAAATATATATGATGTGCTTCAGGATACAAATGAGAAATAATTTTTCCTGCTGGATTCAGAGAAAATAATAAGAGAAGATAAAACCTTTGAGCTGAATCTTGAAGGATGAGTAGAGCTTTGTCCCATGAAGAGAGGGACAAAGAGGACATTCCTGACAAAGCAAACAACATGAATAAAGACTTGAAAGTGAAAAAGGTGCTTAGGGTAGAGAACTGGTGCCAGGCCTGGTAAACAGGATGAAAAGGCACTAGGGAATTAGAACTGAGTTGAAAAGGTAGGCTGGAAGGACCTTCTTCTGCAGGTGATAAGGAACCATCCAAAGATTTAAAAACCTATGGCATAGTCAGATTTGTGTTTTGAAATAATTGTTGTTAAGTGCCGTGGAGTCAGTTCTGACTCAATGGTGACCCTGTACGGAGTTTCTGAGGAGTGGTTGGTTAGGTTTGAACCAATGACCTTTCAGTTCAAATGGACCTTATGGTCGAATGCTTAACCTACAGCACCACACCCGGACATAACTAGTGTTAACTATAAGATATGAAAGAGCACAAACTATTATTCCAAATTAAGGAGCCCTGGTAGTGTAGTAGATTGTGTGTTGTGCTGCTAACTGCGAGATCAGCAGTTCAAATCCACCAGCTGCTCTGCAGGAGAAAAGATGAGGCTCTCTGCTCCCATAAATATTTCCAACCTTGGAAACAGGGTTGCTATGAGTTAGTAGAACTGACTCCACAGCACACCACCACTACCGCCATCATTTCAAATTAGGTAGAGGCCAGAGAATTGTAATCAAGCAATTACAAGGCTAAGGCAAACATTTAAATGAGAGTTGAGGGCATAGAACATGTGAGTGACAATAGGGGAGGAGAAGGAGGGTAGAGCAGATCTGTATTTGTAACTAATTTGATATGTGGATAAAGAAAAAAACTAACAGTGACTCCAGAGTGTTTCTGACTGGGTGGATGTTGGTGCTATTAAATAAGACTCAGAAGAGAAGTGGGTTGTAGACAGATAACAGAGTTCATCTATACATTTTATGATCAATCATAATTTTAGTTTCCATTTCCCGCCAGAGTTAAGAGTTTCTTAAGTGTTTTCCCTGTCTCTAGCCTGGAGATCCCTTCCAATCTATCCTGCACAGTGGCACCAGAATGCTTTTTTCTAAAACAAAACTCTGAAGATGTTAATTAAGCACCTCCACCTCCCAAAGCTTGTATGTAGGATAAAGTTTGAATGTCTTGGTTTGACACACAAAGCCATTTACAAGTTTGCTTCTACCTACCTCTATGAGTCACACACATGCTGTACCCTTTGTTCCAGTCGCATGGAATTTCTTGTTGTGCCGTTAACAGACCATGCTATTCCAATCTCCATGTCTTTGCACTCCCCTCATACAGTATACTTCTAGCTCAAACCTCATATCCTGAAGGAAGCTCTTCTTGATACCCTGATTTATAAAGGCTAACTCTTATACTTGTTTAGTACTTTCTATAGGATATTACCACCCAATATTATAATTGTGAATTTATCTATTTCACCAGTCAACAAGTTCCCTGAGGTCAGAGACTATGTCCTAGTTGATATGATAGAATATCTAGTAGTGTCTGGGCACACAGAACACTATTAAGTGATGTGCTTAAAGAACCTAGTGGAGAGATTCTAAAATATTGTTATGTGTATGCACATTAAGGTCACATTCTTGTTTAAAAATTCAGAGCTATTGAAAATAGACAAAGGATTATGGGTCTAAAGCCAATTCAGGACTGGAGAGAGCAAGCAGGGAGCCATCAACTTATAGATGCAAACTGAACATCACACACAGCAGATATGTAGACTGAGAATGGCTAAGGGCAGACTCCTGAGAAACAGCACCCACTTAACGGGCTGGAAGAGGAAGAGACACCAGGATATAAGAGACCAAGAAGAAACGGAAGAATGGAAAGCCAAGAGAAGTATGCTTAGAGTGCGGAAAAGTTAGCATGTCTATGAAATGCCCGAAAATAGTGTTTAACAGGAGGACACTTTACATTTTCCCTTGCCTAGCTCATTACACAAGAAACAAAGGTGTTAACTTAGGGTAATATTTTTGCATTCTGTTTTTTATGTTTAAAATTGGTTTAGCTCTAAGACCAAGTGAATATCATTATGATACTTAAACTACCTAAAGCTGTATCAAAACACTTATTAAAACAAGAAGATTGAAAAGTTTAAATGTCGGAGTATTTCTTTTCTCTTTCCTAATTACTTCTTAGTCAGTTATGTCATTGTTCTTCTTAAAATATCAAACATGGATTTGAGTGAGGGGCATTTTGTCATAGAAGGGGGCTTCAAAAAGTCATAGTAAAATGAAATTGAAAGATAATGGAACTTCCCCCATGAACTTTCAGAAGTCCCCTTGTACTTACTTTATATTAGTAGTTTATTAGCTTGAGAGACAATGTTCACGGTCACTTTTAAACATCGAATTTTTCATTTACCAATTCTAATAGAAGAAACTCTTGCTTGTAACTCTAAAACCTTAAACTTTAATGAAGTGTGCTCATGTGGTGGTTCCATATGGTAAATGCTGGACTGTGAACCACAAGGTGAGTGGTTCCAGTCCACCAGCAGCTCCATGAGGAAAAGATGAGCTTTTCTGCTCCAGCAAAGATTTGAAGTCTTAGAAACCCTAGACAGGGTGGCTATGAGTTGGAACCAACTTGACAGCACTTAACAACAACAACAACATTGCAACAGTAATTTCTGAATAAACATCAGGTACTTTATGGTAAAGAAATCAATCATAGCATTTCACAAAAGTAACCATGAAACAACAAACTTACCCCTGTATCTGTATCAGACTTTGATGAACTGAGACTTTCCTGAGAAGGTGATGGGGACACGCGCCCTAAAAACAACACAGTAAATATAAAAGCACAGGTATACGTCCATATGTACACACAACCACAAACATTCAGGAATAATGACACAGTAACATCTATTTAATAGGCAATGAAGTACTCACTTAACCTCTTGTCAATTTAGAATCTTCAGTTATGTATTACAGCATAATGCAAGCAAGCGATGCCCTCAAAATCTGCCAATGTCTACAGAGCTTAGTTTGCTAGTTTCATGAATTCCTCCAGATGTGTGTTCCTCAAGCTGTTTCTTCTATTATTCTCGTCTCCACTGTCAGCTGATCATCTCTTACTTTACTATACTTTTCTCTCATCCCATAACATTTTGTTTTTCAGCCTTGGTTTATGAGGTTGGCAGGGAGTGGTGGTGGTGTCAGAGGAAATTTATTTTACAGGGAAATAATTTCAGGCAAAGAACTCCATAAACTTAAAACTCCTATTTTCATTAACGCTAGATACTTTTTGGATACTTATGATAAATAAATATTTTTACATAGTTGTAATCAGTGTATACACAGTATTCTCAGGTTTTCCAATTTCACTGAACATTTTTTTCATATACTCTTTGATATATTGACAATTCACATTGACTTTTCCATGGCTGTGTTTCCTGGATTTTCCCATGAATTTCTGGGTATATATTATTCTCATTCTTTTTCAACAGTCAGGTCTGTCATAGAACTGAAGGTTTTCAGGGAAAACCAGGTAATAATGTTCTCAAGAGTTGATGACTATAAGGATGAACTATGACTGAAAAGGGCTAAAGCCAAAATCTTTGTGGGAGCTATTTTCACTGGGTTTAATGATTTTTTTTGCTCTTGACGTTTGTTTTATTTTTAGGCCTGTGGTTTTTATGAGAAGTGGTGGTTGCTGCATATGACATCCAGATAAGAAGGGCATTACTGTACCTACAACTGAAAGATTCTAGATTTCTCTGGATTTTTAAAGCCCATCAATAAATGAAAGATACCTTCAGTATTGTACTTCATTCTCATATTGTTGAAATAGTCAAAAGCATTTTTTAAAGCCCATATTCTCACTACATTGTCTTGTCCAGCTGAGGCAAGTAATCGACCACAGTGAGAAAATTTCATGGTCCAAACAGCTCCCTAAGGAAAAAAGGAAGTTTCACATTTATTTCTTAAAAAAGTTGAGACATCACTTTTAAGCCAAAGTTAAAAATTATGCCAAACTAGATGTACAAAGCTAATGCTCATATTACCAGCACGTAGGCTGCGAGTTCAGTGATGCTCTAAGACCGCAGAAGGGGCTGTCAGAAGAAAGGTGGATGAGAGTCTACATACTAATACAAATGGGAGCTCTACAGGGCTTCTTAGGGTTTTCAATGGTTCCTTTTTTTTTTTTTTTTTTAAGAAATAGCTCCTTCTTAGGCACCTGTGGGTGGATTCAAACCCCTACTCATTGAGTTACCAGCTGTTAGGCTAATGTGCCCTGCTAATTGAAAGGTTGGAGGTTTGAGTCTACCCAGAGGTGCCTTGGAAGAAAGGCCTAGAAATTTACTGCTAAAAAAAAATCATTGACAAATGTATGGCGTGAAGTTGTACTGACACATATGTTGTTATGAACTGCTGACAAATATGTTTGTTGTTAACTGCCGTTGAATCGGTTCTGACCCATAGCGACCATGTATAGGGTTCCCAAGGAGTGACTGGTGAGCTTGAACTGCTGACCTTCTAGTTCAAACAACTTTGCAGTCCGGCACATTAACCCACAGCGCCACACCAAGACTCCTGACACATATGACACATAAAGGGTGGTCATAAATAGGAGTTGAAGAGATGGCAACTGGATAACTGGTGGAGTGGCCACAGATCTTAATTGTAAAAGCACAAATGCTAGTGTTGTATTTTAGTCTTCTAACTGAAAATGACAGGGGGCCAAGAGGGGAGGGGCACAGCTGAGAAAAGAACAATGCTCACCTTAGCAGTGACTCTTGTGACATTTAGTAGTCTCAATCTGTTCTCCCCTCAGTTCCCCACAGTACGTACTATGACTAGAATTCCTGGATATTGAAAACAATTATGTATGTGTGTGTGCGTGGTGGGGGGATGTGTGTGTAAAAGCATTGGAACCCCTAAATTGGAAAGGCAAAATCCTATTACAACAAATACTGTTAAAACATATATGTACGTGCGTCAAAAACATTATCCATGCTGCAGGCAAGATCTCAGTTACTGGAACAGTATTCGTTTTACAAAAATCAAATAGATTAAGAAATTTGTCTTTTGGAGCCTGCATTGTAGCAGCAATTTTTGTACTATACTGACTCATTATTTCTGTTAAGTAACAGAAATAATGAGTCAATATAGTACAAGGAAATTTAACAGATTCTTTAGTACTATAATCAACTCAATCATTTTATGTGCAGATTATAAGCACCAAAATGTAAATCGTAATATTGCTGCCATCCAACCTGTTTATAGTTGCTTCCTCACACTTATGATAACTTATAAAGGCTATACAGTAAGCCACATGTAGTTTGGAAGGTGGCTTTTAAAAATCACATAATTAAAATTCATGCATTATTTCATTATATGTAACATTTCTTTTACTCCCACATTAGGTCTGATAATCAAGACCTGATTTTAAACCTAAGTAAAAATAACACAAATGTAGATGAATAGAGAAAAATTCAAGGGCATAGTTTTGTTTTCCCTCAGGGAAGAAAAACCACTGAAAACTATGTCAGATGCTGAGAGATGACAGGGTTTAAGATTCCCTGATAAAGGATACACAGTATCATTTTTCCTGTTCTGAGCTTTATTATTATTACCTTCCCTGTGCTCCAAACAATGCATTTTGTCCACTTTCATCAAATTTGATACATGTTAACTCTGCTAGGGAACTTGTACCTCCCACTCCTTGTTTGAGCTAAGCACAAAACTTCACAAAACATATTGAGTTTCTGAAAAGCTTTGTATAAATTATTTTAAAAACACTGGGGAACATTTTAAACATTTTCTAAAGTGACATACCAAACCCTAGGTTCAAATACTTTAAAGACTGGTAGCTTTGCATATGCTTCTTAATGGCACAGACATAGAGTTTTAATCAATAACTCACCTACTGATCAATTAAGAGACAGACCTCTGTATTACCTATTCATTAAATTAATAAAAGTCTGCTATTCTTGAGTCAAGCTAATAAAATTACACACATAAGAAGAGATAAGCATTATATCTAAGTGGAATTATTTCCCACAATGAAAAAAGCTTACCATGTGTTCACCGCTAAGATCTTGTACCACTTTGATCTGATCAAAATCATACGGTCCTTTAAAACCATGTGCTGCTTTGAATTTCACTGGTCGTGTATATGGCATCCCTTCATCATCACTTGATGAAGGATCATCTTGATCAGTATGAAACACTGAACAGAAAAGCATTAATAAAAATCATTACTAGCTAATAATAGATATACCAAAAGGAACTCTGGTAGCGTAGTGGTTACGAATCGGGCTGTGAACCGCAAGGTCAGCAGTTCGAAACTACCAGCTGTTCTGCGGGAGAAAGATGAGGCTTTCTGCTCCCGTAAAGATTTACAGCCTCGGAAACCCTGTGCAGGGTCACTGAGTCGGAATCGACTCCACGGCACATAACAACAACATAGATATACCAAAAAGGAAACTCATTGACATGGATTTGATTCCAACTCATAGAGAACCTATAAGACAGTAAAACAGTCCCTACGGTTTCCAAGACAAGAAACACCTTTCTTCAGCACAGTGCCTGGTTGGTTAGAACCTTTCAGTTAGCTGCCGAGTGCTTTATCCACTGTGCTACCAGGGCTCCATAATGTAGATGTTTCCATTGCTATTAATTCTATTCTGACTCATAGTAACACCATATAGGGTTTCTGAGACTAAATCTTTACAGAAACAAAAAGCTTCATCTTTCAAGGAGCGGCTGGTGGGTTTGAACTGCCAACCTTACAGTTAGCACTGTAACTTATCCTACAGCGCCACCAGGGCTCTTTAATATAGACAGAGCTACTATCATCTTTTCATACCTACTGTCTTCCAAAAAAATTTATTAAATGGTAAAGGAAAAGCTGTCTGTTACAAAATAGTATAGTGTTGAAACACATGGAGTTGGTGTCAGATTGCCTGGGTTCAAATCTAGCTCTGTTGTTTATTATCTACGTGTGAACGGCAAATTACTCAACCTTTCTAAGCCTCAGTTTTCTCATCTATAAAACGGAGCTAATAATGGAACTTTACCTCATAGCATTTTTTTTTTTTTTTCACATCCAGCCTCTATTTATTTAAGGTTTTTATTGTGGATTGAGTAAAAGTTTACAGGGCAGATCATCAGTTTTACATTCAACAAATCACACACCTTGTTTCATTACAATGATTATAATTCCTTCCACGTACTATCAATTACCAATATTTCTCTCTATTCACTTTAGATATATAGTTTTTTAAATACTCAGGCATATATAATAATTTACACCACTAAAGGGCACATTATACAAGTCTGCCTCCTGATTGCTCTCTCTTAGTCCCTCACTTTCCATGAATCTAGAGTCCTCAGCTGCTCCATCTCTCCATGTTGCCATTTCTGGCTCCATCTCTGGAGTCCCTGCTTCTCTGGATAAAGGTCTCTTATTCTGCTTGTGCTTTTCTCCCTTGATGATCCTAGGGGCCTCTGTTTCTGGACTGTAAGATTGACCACTCCCCTGTTTTTGTTACAAAACTATTACCTTTACAATTACAACAGTCGCAATTAGTTATGATAACAATTACTCACTATTGAATCATAAGAATCTTATCCCCATCTCTTTTTACCAGACCCATCTAGACAAGATGAAAACTATTCAGTGGGGACTCTTTCTTCCCCATCCCTCCCCCAACACTCTTAAACTAAACTTGAAACCTTGTAAGCCAGTCACTTCATGCCTTTATCACCCCCTCATTTTAGGTAGCCAATGTCTAAGTTGCCCATCCTTATCTAACCTGTGTACAGAGGGGATAGCACTGATACTTGATGTGAAGACTCCTTCTCTCTCTGTTGGTATTTTCAGCTACTACATCTACAAGTATAGGTCAAGTTCATCGAATTGTAGCAGTTTACACTTGTTTCCTTTATCAAAAGTTGTTTTATTCTTTTTTTTTTTTATCTTCCTCTAGTCAAGTTCTGATTATCAAGCCATCGAGGCTACGTCAAATGGATACTATCTGCAACTTTGGTGTTCTTGTGCGACCCCTCTTATTTCCTATCAGCTATATGCTTCCCTCTCAGCTCTAGCCCTCTGAGGCTATGACACTGGACATATTCCTGTGGCTATGTCCTTGTCCATAGGCTCAGGTGTCCCCAGGTCTCATCATACTTTGGACCAACCAGCCCTTCTTCTTCTTCTCTCTCTCATCTCCAGGTCCATGAGAGTCTATGAAATGTGGCTGAACTCAGCCCATTTCTTCACTGCTGCCTTTGCTCCTCTTCCACTCACCAATAGACCAATGTGGTTGCCAGCAAGCTCACATGCCTGCTCATGTGTTCCCTTTGAGTTTCAGTCTTGGGGGGTGGGGGGTTGTCCTGAAGGACGTTGATTGATTGCCTTGATAGCTTTCTGGTGAACAGCTTGCTTATTCTTATAGTAGCCTGTCATACTAACATTTCTGTTTTGGGTTTTTCCTGTTGATCTTTCTTTGAAGATGTTATCTTCTACCGATCTAGTTGTTCCAGGCTGGCCTGCTAGTTCTTTCTAGTGGGAAAGTCCCACCTCAGAAGGTTGTGAATAGGACTCAGGATTCTAGCTAATAGGCTCTGCAGGAGGCCTATTTCACGGGGCAAGTTGTAGAACCCCTTTTAGGTATTCCAATCAGTTATAGGCTAAAGACTGGCTTACAAGCTTTCTGTAATCATGTACCCCAAAATTCCTTTTTATCCAACTAAAGTTTCAATTTAACAATAGTAGTCAAAGGAAACCAATATTCATAAGACAGTCGAGCATCTTAGTATTATTTCCCCTCTTCAAACTATGCCTTGATCCTTGTATCCTAGAGCCCTGTTGTTCCAAGGTTGAGCATGCATCACTATTTACCTACATCCCATTTAGCCCATGCAAACCTGTCTCAGTGTTCCCCTATCTACCTTGTTCTTCCACCCCCTCCCACTTCTTGTGTACTGCCCTCCCCAAAACCCGAACTACGATGTGTCTGTCATAACATTTTATGGGGATTAAATACGTACATGTGAAAGTGATTAGAACTGCACTGAATAAGTACTATGATTTCAAAGTCAGCTCGAAAAGACAAAGTCAAACATTACAAGAAAATGTGCAAAGAGTCAGAAGACCAAAAGGGAAAAACACGCTCAGCATTTCTCAAGCTAGGGGAACTGAAGGAAAAATTCAAGCCTCGACTTTCGTTATTGAAGGATTCTATGGGCAAATTATTGAATTATGCAGAAAGCATCAAGAGAAGATGGAAGGAATACACAGATGGAAGGAATACACTGTAACAAAAGGAAATGGTTGATGTTCAACCATTTCAAGAGGTAGCATATGATCAAGGGCCAATGATACTGAAGGAGGAAGTCCAAGATGCACTGAAGGAATTGGCAAAGAACAAGGCACCGGGAATTGATGGAATAAAAATTGAAATATTTCATGAAAGTGAGGCAGCACAGGAGGCATTCACTCATCTATGCCAAGAAATGTGGAAGACATTTGGAAGAGATCCATATTTGTACCCATTCTAAAGAGAGGTGACCCAACAGAATGCAGATATCATCCGACAATATCTTTGATATACCATGCGAGTAAAGTTTTACTAAAGGTAATACAGAAACGGCTGCAAGCATACATTGACAGAACTTCCAGATTTTCAAGACGGATTCAGAAGAGGATGTGGAACACGGGATATCTTGTTGATGTCCAATGGATCTTGGCTGAGCAGAGAATACCAGAAAGATGTTTACCTGTGATTTTTTTGTATTGACTATACAAAGGCTTTCGATTGTGTGGATCATGACAAGCTATGGACAACATTGCGAAGTATGACTATTTCAGAACACATTGGTGCTCATGAGGAATCTGTATATGGACCAAGATTCAAACAAGATTCAAACAGAACAAGGGAACATTCCATGGTTTAAAATGAAGAAAGGTGTGTGACACGGTTGTATTCTTTCACCATAGTTATTCAACCTGTATGCTGAGCAAATTATCCGAGAAGCTGGGTTCTATGAAGAAAAATGTAGCATCAGGATTGGAGGAAGATTCATTAACAACCTGCGATATGCAGATGATACAACCTTGCTTGCTGAAAGTGAAGAGGATTTAAAATACTGACTGATGAAGATCAAAGACCACAGCCTTTGGTATGGATTGCATCTCAATGTAAAGAAAACAAAAATCCTCACCAATGGACCAATAAACAACATTCTTATCAACAGAGAAAAGATTGAAGTTGTCAAGGGCTTCATTCTTCTTGGATCAACCATCAACATTCATGGAAGCAGCAGTCAAGAAATCAAATGACATACTGCATTAGGCAAATCTGCTGTACAAGACCTTTTTAAAGTGTTGAAGAGCAAAGATGTCAACGTGAGGACTAAAGTGCGCTCTGACCCAAGCCATGGTATTTTCAATAACCTTATATGCATGTGAACGCTGGACAATGAATAAGGAAGACCATAGAAGAATTGATGCTTTTGAGTTATGGTGTTGGAGGAGAATACTGAAAGTGCCATGGGGTGCCAAAAGAACCAACAGATCTGTGTTGGAAGAAGTGCAGCCAGAGTGCTCTTTGGAGGCCAGAATGGCCAAACTTCGTCTCTCATACTTCAGACATACTGTCAGGAGGGACCAGTCCCTGGAGAAGGATATCATGTTTGGTTAACGTGGAGGGTCAGAGAAAAGGAGGAAGACTCCCAGCGAGATGGATTGGCCAACTGGCAGCATCAAAGGGCTAAAGTGTGGTAACAAGAGGTTGGCCCAGGATCTGGCAGTGCTTCATTCTGTTGTGCACAGGGTCACTATGAGTCGGTACCAACTCAATGGCACCTAACAACAACAACAAAGTATTTGTTATATAAAACAAATGAGTATATAATGATAAAGGCACAGGAAGTTAAGGTGTGTGCAAATTTATAAATTTTACCAAATTTTGAAAGTATTTATAAAAAATAAACAGTCCTTTACAACATGAATGAATCTGGAGGACCTTATTCTGAGTGAATTAAGTCAATCATAAATAGACAAATTTGTATGGTTCTGCTAGCATAAAAAGTCAAGAAAAGATATACACAAAGAAAGTATAAAGTTCTTTGATTGTTACCAGGGATGAGCTGGGAAGAGAGGGTGAGTCACTCCCTAGGTAGTAGACACTTGTTACTTTTGGTGATAGGAATGGCAGTTCCAAACATGGATGAAGTCAGTACAACTAGACCAAGGTAAACAAAGACACTAAGAAGTACAGGCGAAAAAGGGGACAGTTTTGGTAAATGCTACACCATATACTACTTACAATAAAAGTAAAAACAATAAAAAAGAGTGTGTGGTTATGTACATAGATATGGATGTGTATGTATATAGAAAGGTATATGTGAATGCACATGCATTTATAGGTATGTTATTGTTGTTGTTGCTAAGTGGCTTCAAGTTGGTTCCAAACCATAACGCCCCTGTATAGGGATTCCCAGGAGCAGTTGGTGAGCTTGAACCACTGACCTTGTGATTCAAACTGACTTTGCATCCCAGCGCATTAACCCACAGCGCCGTACCAGGACACACGTTTGTGTGCTGCATATATATGCACATACATAACAAACCACATAGGCTTCCTAGATATATCCAAACAACTTGTAGAATTGGCTTATAGGGTTAAAAGGCTTGGGATTGTCTCGGGAGGACAACTTAGTCAACTGTCATAACACAGTTCAAAAAGACAGTGTTCTATATTCTAGTTTGATGAGTAGTGTATGGGCTCTTAAAAGCTTTGTTCCTATGGAGCAAAGGAGAATGAAGGAAATCAAAGACTCAAAAAAGAAACTAAGCCACAGGGCTAACAACCCATGTGAACCACAGCTCTTACAACCTGAGACCAGGAGAACTACTGCTGTGACCAGGGACACAACAGAAGGTCCCAGATAGAACAAAACTCTAATTCCTAAAAAGGTCCTACTAGACCAATAGTGACTACAGGAACCTCCAAAACTATTGTTCTGAATTGAAGGTATCTCTGTAGGTCACCTTAGCGCCAAATAATAGTTAAGTGCCACTGAATCAGTGGCTGAGGGATTTGAACTGCTGATGTTGTAGTTAGCAGTCCAGTCCTACAGCACCACACCAGGACTCCCAAATAACAGACTGGTTTATAATATAAACAGTAGTATTCATGAATCCTAGTGTGGCACTGTAGGATCAGCACTGGACTACTAACCACAAGGTTGGTGGTTCAAACCCACTAGCCACTCCTTGGAAACCCTATATAGGGTTGCTATGAGTCAGGACCAACTCGATGGCACTTAACAACAATAATTCATGAGAAATGTGCTCCTTTAAACAGTGAACTAAATGAAGAGGCTAAAAAAAGTTTGTGGAAAATGGAATTAATTAGCTATACAGACATTAGTTTAGATTAAACAGAATGCTTCTTATAAACTACACGTTTTATTTGTTGTTGTTGTTAAGTGACGTCGAGTCGGTTCCAACCCATAGCGACCCTGTACAGGGTTTCCGAGGCTGTAAATCTTTACAGGAGCAGAAAGCCTCACCTTTCTCTCGCGGAACAGCTGGTAGTTTCAAACTGCTGACCTTATGGTTTGCAGCCCAATTTGTAACCACTATGCTACCAGAGCTCCTTACAGGTTTTATTTAGATCATTATAAATTCATTAAATACTCAGTAAAAATGTTCTATTTCACTTACCTTCATCTCTAACACTTTTAACTTTATTTACAGCACGTTCACCATATTCTTCAGCAAGGTGCTTTGCTCTCTTTACTGATTTTCCTAGGAACTTCTTTAGTTGAGTCCTAATCAAAATCAAAACAAAAAAAACCTCCAAAAACATTTCTCATGAACTCAAAAATTCATATGTTAACTCATTAGCTGTAACTGGTAAAGTATATTATTTTTAAATAATCCATTATTTAGCGTATCGATTTCCTAATGTGAATGATAACTCTCAACCATGGGAGGGGGGATGGGTGGGAGGGAGGGAGTGCTTAAATTACCTGGAGCCCCCAGATAATTTAATTTAGTGAGACTCGGGTGAGAGTAATCTGAAATGAAAACTTATTTTGAGGAAAACTGCCTTAGGGAGTTGTTCTTAGAAGCATATTTTACCAACAAAAACAAAATTTGTGGAGGTATTTACTTAAAAAATAGAATTCTTTGATAGCTTAAGAAAGTTCCCTGTCCCATGTCTTTCAGATTTAATATTCAGATGTAATAAAATTTGGCTGTGCTTTCCCAACAGGTACTTACAAATACAGTGTAACCCAAGTATGCATCTCAACCTTCTGTCAATAGAATGCATTTCTTCTTTTCCAGTAGTTTAGGCCTCAATTTTTACAGGTTAAAATTATGAACAAAAAATGTTCAAAGGAAAAAAAATGGGGAAATTTATTTTTAAAAACCAAGTTATGTGAGTTTATGATATTAACAATAGTGTTTGAAAAGATTGCTAAGATATATGTGTGTATGCATGTATGTATGAATATTTATATATATGTATATATACATATATACATATATATAGTTGTACTTTATGGAGTTCTGGTGTGGCGCTGTAGTATAAGCACTGGACTGCAAAACAAAAGGTCAGCAGTTCAAACTCACCAACTGCTTCTTGGAAACCCTATACAGGGTTATTATGAGTAGGCATTTAGCAAAGCAACAATTATATATATGTAAAGATGTTTGCTGAAGGATTATCTAGAATAGATAGAAACTACGAATAAGTGAAATTTTTATCCACAGTAGAATGAGTATATAATGCTGGTTTATCTATACAATAGAAAATGATCATATGCATGAGGCAAACCTCAGTTCTTGGAATATGCCTAGTTCTTTTTTTAACCCCAGGGCCATTGTACGTATGACTACTTATGCCTGAAACATTCCCCACCCGTCCCGGCAAACTGCTATTTATCTTTTAGATCTCAGATCAAACAGTCCTCAAGAAAGAGCCTTCCTTGACTCAGTTCTAGACTCAGTTTGGCTTTTACAGTATAGCCTCTCACAGCATGCCACACTTGTCTTCTACAAATGTTAAGTAGATTTATCTGTGTAATGACAGCTTCAGTGTCTACCTCTCCCATTTATCCTTAAGTTCTATGAGGGCAGCAATTAACTTGTTAACTATTTTCCAGCACTTAACTCCCATGTCCAGCACACACAGACTATACTATACTACTGTTACCAACAGGAAGAAATGGCGATGATAGATTAGATTTTTTTTCCATTATTAGATTTTTAAAAGCAGGTTGACCAACCATTTTTCTTGTTGTTAAATGCCACTGAGTTGGTTCCGATTCATATCAATCCCATATAAGGTTTCTGAGGCTGTAAGATTCCATTTTTTTCTGAGAAAAACAGAATTCTATGGCGTATAGAGCAAACCATTAACACTGATTATTTCAGTGGATGAGTTTAAGAGAGATTTTCATTTTCTGTTTTACTCAGTTCTGTATTACTTCTTGAAATCAGAAAGCAAAGATGTTAAACCATTTTTTTTTTAAACACTATAAGGTCTCTGCTATCTATATTCTGAAATTACGTTTTCTGGGTCAATTATAGATTTACTACTACTTTAAGAAAGCAAGAACACAGACATTTTAGTCATTTTGAAAGGGAATTATTTCACGAAGTCTCCTTAAGGAACAGAATTACTGTTACCATTTAATATATTTAGGGTCTTTGAAATGGATTGCAGATCGTGCCATTAATATTAGCTCTCTTCATACCCCCTGTCTTCAAAGCAGCAGAGCAAAACCCAAAGAAGCCAGAACCAAGGGCCAGTGTCTTCTGGCCATCAGCTGCTTCAACAGTTCACTCCAGCATTTAGTGTAAATACGTCACGACATGAGGAAAGACTGGAAAACATTGCTGTATATATAGCACAGTTGTTCTATGTAGGCCTGATTTATTATTTTTCTGATTCCTCAGAATACTACCTGACATGTCTTAGATGCCAACTTACATGCACTCACAATTTGCTTGCTTTTATTTTCCTGTGAATTTAGAAAAAAGATGACAAGAGCTTTAAAAATTAAGCAGACAGCGAGAGCAATGACTTTGACTAAACCTGAGAGTTTCTCTTAGAAAAATGCAAAAGGTTAGTGCATGAACTATGTAATATCTCTGCTGTCTATTCACCTGTCTCCTGAGTAATTCCTAATTCCTAGGTTCCTGATAGTTGCCATCGATAAACAGCCAAGTTCCAGATACCTGAGGTATTATTATACACTGCATTTGAGCAGATCTCTAAAAATTCTCATTGGCTCCTCTTCTATACGTTCCACACTTGGAAAAGAACAGACTCACATGGAGAATGTGCGTTGAGCCTTAGACTGAATTAGAGCCATTTAAGTAACTTGGTATGTTGTTATTTCAGTTGGCACTGAGATGATTCCTATTCGTGGAGACACCCTGTGTGCAGAATAGAACTGCATTCCATAGGGTTTCCTAACTGCGACATTTGAGAAGCAGATCATCAGCCTTTCTTTCTGAAGCGTCTTGGATGGGCTTGAACTGCCAACAATTCGGCAAGTAGTTGAGTGTTGAATCAGTTGTGCCACCCAGGGACTCCAAACTTATGAATAATAAAGCAAAATCCATAGAGCCGTATTGTGCTAGATGTTATTGTTGTGTGCTGTCAAGTTGATTCCGATTCACAGCAACCCAGTATATGGTTTCTGAGGCGGTAATTCTTTATGGGGGCAGAAAGCCTCATCTTTCTCCCACAAAGTCGCTGGTGGATTCGAAATGCTAATCTTATGATTAGCAGTCCACTGTGTAACCCACTATACTACCAGTGCTCCTGTGCTAGATGTTAGCAGGGGAAATAAATGTAAAATAATAGAAGGGTGATCACAATCCTAATGCAACAGATACTTAATTGTATATCATGTAATTTATCTTGCTTTCTAAATAAAGAAGTTTAATATATGATCAAAGGCAAAAGTGAGTTATGTAGATTTTAGGTATCAATAAGGCTGAAAAAAAAAAAAAAGAAATGAACTATGAATTAGATTAGCCAGGAAGAATCTCATATAGTTGGGTTTAGAAAGACAAGCTGGATCTACAGAGATGAAGATGAAGAAACAGATAACATCATGGAGGGCAGTCGTGGTTCTTCTAACAACATCTCTTTTGGTACCTACTATCAGTAAAACAGGAGTCCTGGTGTGGCACTCTGGGTTAATGCATTGGACTACAAGTTCGTTTGAATTGCAAGATCGGTGGTTCAAGTTCACCAGCCACTCCTTGGAAACCCTATACATGGTCACTATGATTCAGAACCAACTCAACAGCACTTAACAACAATGAGAAAATATAGGGATAATGCAAAATTTACTGATTTTCTACCACATGCTATAAAAAGAATAACACAGACTCAAGGAACTCATAATCCATTGGCTGGGGACAAGGGAGTGGTGGTGGTAGGAAGTCATACTGAGTGGTTACAGTATAAATTTAACACAGCATGGGGATTCTCATATTCTCAAATGAAAAACACTTACGTTTTCTGTTTTAACCGTCCACCATCAGTATCTGTAGATTGCAACTGTATTTTCTCTTCATCATCTGACTGGGCTGCATCATTACTGTAAGAAGGGGGAAGAAGTCAATTAATAAAAAACTGTGTCTCTTGCATGGTTCAAAATCCCTATTTATATCCCACCTGAATTTAGAGATCATCTCAAGAACAGATTTCATACATTAAACACTAAAGACCAAAGACCAGAAGAGTTGTGGGATGACATTAAGAACATCATACAGGAAGAAAGCAAAAAGTCATAAAGAAGACAAGAAAGATGGAAAAGATCAAAATGGATGTCAGAAGAGACACTGAAACTTGCTCTCCAGCATAGAGATGCTAAAGCAAATGGAATAAATGAGGAGGTACAAGAGCTGAACAGAAAATTTCAAAGGTCAGCTCAAAAAAGTCAAAGTCAAATATTACAACAAAATGTGCAAAGATCTGGAATCATAGAACCAAAAAGGAAGAACATGCTCAGCATTTCTCAAGCTGGGGGAACTGAAGAAAAAATTCAAGCCTCGACTTTCGTTACTGAAGGATTCTCTAGGCAAATTATTAATGATGCAGAAAGCATCAAAGAAGTTGGAAGGAATATACAGAGTCACTGCACCAAAAGGAAATGGTTGATGTTCAATTGTTTCAAGATCAAGAGCCAGTGATACTGAAGGAAGAAGTCCAAGGTGCATTGAAGGAATTGGCAAAGAACAAGGCACCAGGAATTGATGGAATACAAATTGAAATCTTTCAAGAAAGTGAGGCAGCACAGGTTGCCAAGAAATTTGGAAGACCAACTGATTGGAAGAGATCTGTTATTTGTGCCTATTCCAAAGAGAGGTGACCCAAAGGAATGTATAAATCATCGGACAATCTCTTTGAGATCCCACATAACTAAAATTTTACTAAAGGTGATACAGAAATGGCTGCAAGCATACATTGACAGAGAACGTCCAGAGGCTCAAGCCAGATTCAGAAGAGGCTGTGGAACGAGGGATATCATTGCTGATGTCCGATGGATCTTGGCTGAAAGCAGAGAATATCAGAAAGATATGTGCTTCATTGACTACACAAAAGCTTTCGACTGTGTGGATCATGACAAGCTATGGACAACATTGCGAAGTATGAGTTTTATGGAACACTTAATGGTGCTCATGAGGAATCTGTACCTGGACCAAGAGGCAGTTGTTTGAACAGAACATGGGAACACTGAATGGTTTAAAATGAAGAAAGGTGTGTGACACGGTTGTATTCTTTCATCATACTTATTCAACCTGTATGCTGAGGAAACATTATCCGAAAAGCTGAATTATATGAAGAAAAACGTGGCACCAGGATTGGAGGAAGACTCATTAACAACTTGCGATATGCAGATGATACAACCTTGCTTACTGAAAGTAAAGAGGACTTAAAACATTTATTGATGAAGATCAAAGAGCACAGCCTTAGGTATGGATTGCATCTCAATGTAACAAAAACAAAAATCCTCACCAATGGACCAATAAACAACATTCTTATCAAGGAGAAAAGATTGAAGTTGTCAAGGACTATATTCTTCTTGGATCAACAATCAACACTCATGGAAGCAGCAGTCAAGAAATCAAAAGATGTATTGCATTAGGCAAATCTGCTGCACACGACCTTTTCAAAGTGTTGAAGAGCAAAGATGTCAGCTTAAGGACTAAGGTGCGCCTCTGACCCAAGCCATGGTATTTTCAATAACCTCATATGCATGCGAAAGCTGGACAGTGAATAAGGAAGACCGTATAAGAATTGATGCTTTTGAGTTATGGTGTTGGAGGATAATATTTAAAGTGCTGTGGGCTGCCAAAAGAACAAACAGATACGTGTTGGAAGAAGTTCAGCAAGAGTGCTCCTTGGAGGCCTGGATGCCCAAACTTCATCTCTAATACATCGGATATGTTGTTAGGAGAGACCAGTCGCTGGAGAAGGATATCATGTTTGATAAGGTGAAGGGGGAGAAAAAAAGAAGAAGACCCTCAGTGAGATGGATTGGCAAAGTGGCAGCATCAAATGGGCTCAAGTGTGGTAACAATTGAGAGATTGGCCCAGGATCGGGCAATGTTTAGTTCTGTTGTGCATAGGGTCGCTATGAGTTGGTACTGACTCAATGGTACATAAACAACAACAACATACCACTAGCAAATCTTTCAGAATGAGAAAAAAAGCATTTGTTAACATGCTTTATACAATGTATATTTAAGTAACGATCCTGAGAATTTAAAGAGTACAGAGACTAAAGTATAGAGTCTTTAAGGAAGTTTGAACCACAAGGTCGGTGTTTCAAGCTCACAAGCCATTCCTTGAAAACCCCATACAGGGTCGTTATGAGTTGGAACTGACTCGATGGCATTTAACAACAATAACAATGTACAAAATGTAAGTGAATGTAATTTATGAACTTCGGAAATACTATTAGAAATAAGGCTACTTTCTGTACAAAATATGCTACACAAAAATTAACTTTCAGGTATCTTCTTCCTCCCCACTCATCACAAATATTATGAGTTATAATAAAAAAAAAACCTTGTTTTTACAGAAATCATTCCTTAGATCTTCATACATCTCACCATATAGAGTGAATCCATTAACTCTAAAAGTCACTTTTTAACCCTACAAAGACAATAAAAATAAAAATTTTGATCCTTAAAGCAAGGTTTCGGATGGTTTTGACATGGTACTGTTGACTCAGTGTCAGTGGGTTGAGCTTGATTGGTTGGTGTCGGGTGCTGTAGAGTCAATTTTGACTTATTGCAAGCCAGTGTGACAGAGGGAAAGTGCTCTACAGGGATTTACTGGTTGTAATCTCTACAGGAGCAGACTGCCAGGTCTTTCTCCCTTGGAGTTGCTGGGTGGGTTCGAACCAACAACCTCTCGGTTAGCAGTCAAGTGATTAGCCATTGTGTCACCATGATTCCTTTTACTGTCTCTAGCATAATAGAAATAATTTTAAAACAGAAGAAAATAAATAGTAGTAAGTTTAATTAATTAATGTTTTTTCCCAAGTGACTGCAATTCTGAGAAGTTTAACAATACATGCATAAATTAATTCCAGACTAATAAAAAAAAAGATGAAAGGAAATCAAATTAGAACATGTCACAGTACATAAACAGAAATATTCCCCATTTGGACTACAAATGAAATATAATGTTAAGCCGTACCTTACATATTCCTTCGTCCTCCTCATGATGTGCAGAGTGAGAGGATTAATACCTGTTGGCAGTTTCTCTTCTGCAAGACTTAAAGGTATTTCTTCCCCGGTGTCCAGGTTCTTAATCATTACACTGGCTAAAATTTCCTGAAGTAAAGAATACCAATGAGATGTAATTTTCTTTTTGAGTCTACAAAATCCTCAAAGATGTAAGTGAAGGATTTTCTGTGAACAGTCAAGAGTGTTTATAATTTTAAAAACATTTTTATTGAGATATATAATTCACATACCATAAAATGTACCCATTTCTTTTAGAGTACAATTAAATGATTTTTTGTATATTCAGAGTTGTGCCAACATTACCCCTCTTTATGTTTAGAACATTTTCATCACCCTCAAAAGAAACTCTGTACCTATTAGCAGTCTCTCCCCATCACCCTCTCTGTAGCCCCTGGCAACTGCTCAGCTGCTTTCTGTCTCTAAGGAGTCTATTGCTAGACATTTCCTATAAATGGCTTCTTTGACTTTGTATTAACGTTTTCAATATTTCATCCATGCTGTATCAGGTACTTCACTCCTTTTGACTGCTGAAAATTGTTCCATTTTATGGCTATACTATATGCACATTATTGTTGTTGTTAAGTGCCGTAGAGTTGGTTTCAACCCACAGCAACCCTGTATAGGGTTTCCAAGGAGCGACTGGTGAGCTTGAGCTGCCGACCTTGCAGATCAAACCAACCAACTTTGCAGTCCAGCGCATTAACCCACAGCACCACACCAGGACTCCAAATCCACATATAGTCAGTGGTTTATATATCAATTCAATAGTTGAGGGACATTTTCACTGTTTACACCTTTTATCTACGAGAAATGTCGCTACGAACATCTGTGCATGATGTTCTATGTGGAAATTTGCTTTTATTTCTCTTGGGTATACCGAAGAGTGAAATTGTTGGGTCATATGGTAGCTCTATGCTTAATATGTTGAGAAACTGTCAAACTGTTTTCCAAAAGTACAATATTTTTTTTAATGTGCTGTTTAAAAGGAATAAAACATAAAATTTTGCTTTAAAACTTTACTGTGAGCTCTCTGGGTGTGGCACTAGCTGGTGACGAGATGGCTAAATGCACCAAGAAGGTTGGAATCGTCGGTAAATATGGGATCCATTATGGTACCTCCCTCAGGAAAATGGTGAAGAAAATTAAAATCAGCCAGCATGCCAAGCACACTTGCTCCTTCTACAGCAAAACCAAAATGAGAGACGAGCTGTGGGGCTCTGGCACTGTGGTTCCTGTATGAAAACGGTGGCTGGTGGTATCTGGACCTACAACACCACCTCTGTAGTCACAGTAAAGTCCGCCAGCAGAAGACTGAAGGAACTGAAAGACCCGTAGAAGCTCCACCACCTAAACCTGTCTAGCCTGTAATAAATGGGTTAATTTATATAACAGGGGAAAAAAAGCCTTCATTGTGAATTAACTGACCTATATTGTTAAGTGCTATTGAGTAGTTCTGACTCATAGCAATCCTGTATAGAGTTTCCAAGGAGAGGCTGGTGGGTTTGAACCACTGATATACTAAACAATTTTAATGGTAAGATGCACTGAGTCGTCTGCATATACTGTTTATTATATACTGAGTTGGTATATATTGTACATTATGTACAGAGTCTGTATATACTGTACATTGCTGATGCTGTTGTTAAGTCGCTGAGCAGGAGAGAGATGAGGCTTTCTGATCCTGTAAGGTTTACAGCCTTGGAAAACCACGTAAGTCAGAACCGATTCGACAGCACATAATTACCACCACCACTATACTGGTATAAAAACATGTAATATCTATAATATCAAGTTCTTTTAATTTGACTTCCTATCAAATATGGCCCTTGCTTTTAATAGATGTATTCCATTATATAACTGTGTGAAAGGGCAAGTTTAAGGCAAAGTTGCAAGATCCAGTATATTAAAAACAAACAAAAACTTAAACTAGCTTCAATTTTCATTTGTCTCCTATGTTATGAGTTTTATATTTCACCTTTGTAAGAAACAATGCCCCCAAAATCTAACCATACCTCATCAGTAAGCTCTCTTCCGGAGTTGGATCTAGGTCTCTGAGGGCCTATCACTTCACCTGCTATTGTCTGCCCATCAGGTGCTTTTCCATTTTCCTGAAATGAAAATTTGATAAACACAAAAGTAGACAGAGTCAATTTCTATACATTTCCAATTACTCACTACCACACATGTTGTTGTTGTTATTAAGTGCCACTGGGTTGGTTCTGACCCATAGAGACCCTGTATAGAGTTTCCAAAGAGTGATTGGTGAGCTTGAACCACCGACTTTGAGGTTCAAACCAACTTTGCAGTCCAGCATACTAGCCTGCAGTGCCACACCAGGACTACCAGCAATTTAAATATAACATTCCGTTTGTCCTTTCTTGTTCCTAGCATGCTGAAAAAAAATTAGGTGCCAAATCTGTTGCTGCTGCCTATGAAATACTCTATTTCAGAAGTCCTAAAAACAAATCAATGGTCCACATGGTCCTGGCCATAAAGCAGTTCTCTAACCCTATATAGGACTTCTGGTGTGGCGATGGAGGATCAGTAATGGATGCAAACCACAAGGTCAAAAGTTCAAACTCACCAGCTGCTCCTCGGAAACCCTATATAGGGCTTCTATGATTTGGAACTGACTTGACGGCACTTAACAACAACAACCAGTAGAATAATGGCAGCACAGAAGTTGCTATTAATCAGGGCTATAGGTTGCTATCTCTAAGGCAGGGGTCAGCAAACTTTTCCTGTAAAGAGCCAGGTGGTAGATTAAGACTTTTCTGGGTCTTATACACATATTCTTCACTTTTAAAAAACAATCCTTTAGAAATGTAAAGGTTATTCTTAGCCCAAGGATCAGTGGCATTACTGGGGTTTCTGTCAGCCAGTGTCATGGTGTCATTCATGATGTCACACATCCCAAACCCTATCAGACCATACAGAGTCCTCAGTAATGTTTATTATTGATTGTAACCAAAGACTAAGATGTGACAGAGTTGAAATTGCTGAAGTGTAGTATTTCTTAGATTATATGAATGGTTATAAAACACGTTGTTTTATAACATCTTTCTACACTGAATTATGGAGTCCTGGTGTGGCGCTGTGGGTTAATGTGCCAGACTGCAAAGTCGTTTGAACTGCAAGGTCAGCGGTTCAAGCTCACCAGCTGCTCCTCGGAAACCCTATACAGGGTTGATAGCATTTCACAACAACAGCAACAACACTGAATTACAGCATTACTAATTACATTATTAGTAATTGAGATGAAGTCTTTTAAACTTTTTCTCCTATTCTTTTTTAAATGATTACTTCATTTCCCAAAACGTTATTGACATAGGTTCACAAATACTACTTACCAAAATATTGTAGCTAATACACCAAAAAATTTGACAAAATTGGCAATTATAATAAAACTAGCAGCAACAAAAACAACAGTGAGTACTTGTAATGAGTGCGGAGGAAACCACAGAATTTGAAGCATCACTGTAATTGGGTAATAATGACAGCTCTGAGCAGGGAGCATTAGAAGGTCCAAAAAAGGAAATTAGCATGGAGTTTTATCCTTTTACAGGTATACTGATACATGCAGCTGGGCTTATGAAAAATGTTTTTGTTGTTATAACTAACCACAGGGGTATTTTTACATAAAAAAAAAATTATACATTTCTCTGAAACATTGCACAAAAACTTTTCAGACAGCTATTTTGGAGTCGAGTCACCTCCTCTGACAGTGTCACTCACACGGTCCAGTCTGTACCCCTTATACTCTGCCAAGTGAGACCACTGCCACGGACCTTAAAAAACCAGGCTGCTGCTGAGCCCTGATCTAAGACTATGAGAGGACTATACTCAGCTATCTGCAGTCTTTAACAGTCTCTGGGATGAATGAGATTTGGCCTTTAAGTGTGTCTTCAAGTTAAATTTGTAGGTAAATCCAACCAGGTACACATGGTTCTTATTTACCCTTACTTTAGTGCAGAAAAAGCTCAAAGCCTTTTCAATGATATTAAAGATTGCACATGCAGCAAGTAAGGATGATTGTGCTGTTGTTAGTAGGGGTTGGTTCAATCATTTCAAAATGATAGCAAATTTACATAGCATTAAAGGGCAAGAGGAAGACCCCCAGCGAGATGGACTGGCAAAGGGGCACCACCAATGGGCTTAAGTGTGGCAACAATTATACGGTTAGCCCAGGACTGGCAGTGTTTCATTCTGTTGTGCATAGGGTCACTATGAGTCAGTACCAACTTGATGGCACCTAACAACAACAATAAATTGTCTTTAAGTCAAGGTGGTGGTGGTTATGTGCCACAGGGTTTCCAAGGCTGTAAATCTTTATGGAAGCAGAAAGCCTCATCTTTCTCTCGTGGAACAGCTGGTTTCAAACTGCTGACCGATTCGTAACCACTACGCTAGTTGTTTCTAAGTCCAAGGTTCATAACCCACTCCACCACTGCTACCATTTAAGTAAACCTTGAGTTCCAGAATGTGATTATGACAAAATTCATGCTATCATACCCACTGCCTGGTGTATGACGTTTTTCATGATTAGTTAACAGGAAATTAGTTTTTAAATTCTCAATTTTGACCAATATAGGTCAGGTACATGAAGATTATCATTGGAATTTACTAATATCAATAAATAGCATCTGTCAGTTTTTCAATGTCTACTAAATGCCATGTACTGGTTATAATTTAGCTAACCTCATCTTTGCAACAAACCTTCAGGAAGTTTGTTTTTGTTTCTTTCATTTTGTAAATAGGGCATCTTGACACTCATCTGGTGAATAGCCTATTAGGGTCACCCAGCTTGATATTAGCAGAGCTAGACAAGAGAAACAAGGAGGCCAGGTTAGGGAAACAAGAAACTATTTGCCCTGGAGAAGAAAGAAGGTTTAACAATCAACAAATCAGTTTATTGCAGCAAGTTGTGAAAAGCCTTTATCAAATCTAACACCAATTTACCAACCTGAGCAGTAACTACTTTATCTCCACTGGTGGCACTTGCCAAATCAAGAGAAGGCTGAGCATCCTTGACTGTGCTCTCTGAAATTATGTTTGTTGTTAGGAGAGTATCAGACATTATGCTTTCTTTGGCAACTGTAATGACAATAATAACAGCAATAATGTATATTTATACAGGATCTTATACAAATCTTATAAAATGTTTTTACATTTGTTTGATTCTTAAAACAACCCTGTAAGAAAGTTTTATTACTCTTGCTTTATTTATAAGGAAGCCAAAACCAGAATAAGGCTTACTGCTGTCAAAATCAATTCCACCACAGAGTCACCCCACAGGACAGAGCAGAATTACACTATAGGGTTTCCAAGTTGTAAATCTTTACAGAAACAGACTATCACATCTTTCTCTTGTGGAGTGGCTGGTGGGTTCGAACCGCTGAACTCTGGTTAACAGTCAAGTTCTTTAATCACTGTGCCACCAGGGCTCCTTACATATGAGAAAATCAGGATCCAAACAGTTTAACTTCCTCAAGGCTACACAACCAGGATTTGTATTCAGAGTTTAACTCTCCAAATCTCAAGCAGTTGTCACCATACACCAAACAGTAACAGATTTGAAAGTTAGAAGTCTACTGAAATGTTCAATGATAGCAAGATAACATCACTAATATAAACGTTTTCATTTTCTGTATGTTACTAAAGAAAAAAATTTCTTACATGGTTTACAACATGGCTTTACATAGCATAAACTGCATTAAAAACCAGAAATCTTAGTCATTTCAATTAAAATTTTTTTCCCATAAAAAGTATTTCTCAACTGATACTTGCCTTCTAGATCAGGAGTTTTAAGAACCTCAAATTCAGATTCACTTTTCTTTTTCCTGGGTGGTGGAGCAGGTCTCGAGGGAGGTGGGGGTCTAGGAGGTGGAACATTAGTTGGAGGGGGTGGGCGTGCAGGAACAGGCTTCTTTGTACTAGCCACTATATCAGGTTCTGGAGTAAGCTGTCTTGGAGGTTTGGCAGGAGCTACTTCTTCTTCTGCTGCAGCAAAATCTTTACTAGATAGGGAATTTGAAGATGCAGGTTCGAGAACATCACTTTGTCTGACTTCCACAGTTTCCTTGTTTAATTCTTCTGCTTCAGTTTCAGGTACATTAAGCTGCTCAGTTGAACTTGTTTCAGTTAACGTTGTTATTTCCTCTACTGGCTTCTCATCAGTATAATCAGAAAGGAAACATTTTTTAGGTTCAAATTCAGCTTCTTCAAATGCATTCTGACTCTCAAGTTGTTTGGAATCTTCCTGTAGTACTTGATCTATGGCTAACAGTCCAGACATACTGCTAAGATCTGTTCCAGTCGCCTCATCAGAGAGTCCTTTCCCTTTGGAGTCCAAAGAGTCATCTTCAAGTTGTAGTACTTTTTGACTTTCCTCAATAATACTTTCAATAATCTGATGAAAGGTTAAAAATTAATTAAAAAAATAATAAAGCTAGGTATAAGAACATGGTAGTTAAGAAAAGCATGGTAGACCTGAGTGTTTTTGTGTATACCCCTGTACCCCCTTCCATAAAAAAGAAAGAAAAACAGAGGGAATGGAAGCAAATAAAAATAATGTACGGAGGAAATTATAATCATTGCAATGAAACGATGGTGGTAAAGCCGATGTCCTCCCATGTAAACTATCGCTTAGTTCACAATGAAAAAAGCAAAAACGGGGGGGGGAGGGCAGTATTATGTTCTCAGAAGATCTGAAACATTAATACAAATAAAAAATAAACACACATACACAAACACATGGTAGTTAATGATGCATATAGTATTTACTATGTGTCAGATAATATTATTAACATTTGCATATTTTTCATCTTTATATAAATGCTATTAGCACTCTTACTTTACAAATGACGAAATTAGGACAGAGAGCTCAAGAGATTTGTCCATGGTCACAAAGCTAATAAGCAGTAAAGCTAGCATATAAACTCAGGGAGTTAGGCTCCACAGAATCTGTAATTTGAATCATTATATTAGGAGATTTGTGCAGTCAAATCTGTAAAATAATGTTCAAGACTAAAATTACATTAAGACTCATAACACTGTAATGAATTTACTTATTCATTGTAATAACAGTCTACTGGTTTGAGCCTAGTTAACAAAATCCTGAGAATCAAAATTCACCCCGTCTAAGAATTCAAGCTGTTTAGCTGGGAACTCAAGCATGACAGAAAGAGACAGCAGATTAGTAGAAACATTAGCATTCTTAAACAGACGACATCCAATGCCTCACTGTTCAGACTGACGGCAGAGCCATGGAAAGACTTCAAATACCCAGTACATCTTGCCATTTTTCCATTTAATTTTTTATCTGCAGCTGAAAAAAGTTGATAGGCTCTGGGTGTCTTCTAAAAATATTTAGAAAAAAATATTTTCTTCCAAGTCCTGTCAGTACTAACACATTAAAATTTACAGATCACCCCTCTTTCTACTATGTCCAACCATGGATGATTTCTGCTTTCTCTGATCCTTGGCTTCAGAAAGAACAGTGTCTCAGAGCCACCCTGGTCTGGTTTTCAACAAAATGCTGCTCACTAGAACTGGAAATGCTGCTGCTCAATAGTATCCATCCCGGATTGCCTACATATCGATGCTACACAATAGCGTATATCTCCATCTTCAAATATTTAATCCTAAACTTACCTCACTTTTACCAGAGAAATATTAAATAGAGCCCACTTCATTTGTCAGTGAGATGGACCCTGAAGACGAAGACCTTAGTGAAAACAGAAACTGGATTTCAGTGGGCTAAAGAATGAAATCCACAACTAGATGATGTGGTGCTGTAGGATAAGCACTGAACTACATAGTTGGTAGTTCAAATCCACCAGCTTCTCCTCAAAAATCCTATACAAGATTGCTATGAGTCAGAATCGACTTAACGGCACTTACAACAACACCAACAAAGAATGAATAAGATGAAAAAATAGAAATAGTCAATACACTCTATTTTTTCAAGAAGCTTGCTTCTAAAAGAAGAGGTTACTGGAAGGTAATTTAGGATTTTATAAGCTAAGGGGAAAGAGCCAATGTATAGGAAGATAACAGAGCAAAGCTCTGGTAAAGAAAAGAAAGAAGGCCTACTGTGGGTTACACAAAATATACACCTTCTCATTTAATCATCACATAGGCTTTATAAGGCAGCTGAACTCTCTCTCTCTCTTCCATAAAAGCAGAGATTTGATGCAAAAGATTAGGAATTTTGTCCAAGGGCCCACAGCTTGTAAATTACAAAATCAAAATTTAAATCCAGGTCTCTCTAAGAAATCTTGTGTTCTCTGCATTATAATCATGATAATCTGGACAGGAAAAAGCAAGGATACTACGCTGTGAGTGATGACTATGGAAAGTGGTAAGAGATAAAAATGAAATTGTAAATGAAGGAAGTAAGATATGATAGAAACTGGAATAAATCTAGGTTTCTAAGCCTATCATATGTCTATGTACAGTAGGAAGACAGGTTATCTGCTAAAAGTGAGTAAGATGCAAGTAGACCTAAGGAACATGAATTGAGTGTAAAGATTTGAAATAACCACTACACATAATGGAAAGGCCCATGCTATAAGGGTGAAAAGCAAGTGAAGAATTCTGTCTTCTCTAATCCCTTTAGAGCAACCTCGTTCTTATTATTTACTAATTTAAAAACTAAATGCAAATAAAAGGAAGTATATAGACGATCTTGGTATACTTATTTCCTCCATAACTGTGATGCATTCTGTGAAACAGGACATTATTTATGTGATTGGGTGTTGTGCAGCCATATTAAAACCTTATGGGAGCCCACTATAATCAGTTGTCCTCATTCCTGCTGCTGACAGAGGCTGGAAATGGGGTGCTGGTGGCAGCAGCAGCTGAGAGAGCAGGGGCTGGGAGCACAGTGAGAAGAATCAAGTGGGGAAGGAGTGTAGTGTGTCTTACCCATGGTGCCACTCATCTGAATTACAGGGAACAGCCCGGGCTCCACAGCCACCGCCACTGCTGTCACCAGTAACCCATTGGAGAAAGCCTGCCTCACCTGTTTGTATCCCACCTGTGGTCCAGTGCTACAAGAATTTGGGTTTGGGGGTCTTTTAAATCATTGTTATTAAGTGCCATTAAGTCAGTTCCAACTCACAGCAATCCTGTATAGGGTTTTTCAAGAGTGGCTGCTGAGTTTGAATTGCTAACCTTGTGGTTCAAATTGACCTTGTGGTCCAGTGCTTATCCTACAGCACTATACCAGGACTCCACGGTTGTTGTTAAGTGCGGCTGAGTCAGTTCCGACTCACAGTGACCTGGTATGGGGTTTCTGGGGAGCGTGTGGTGGATCTGAACTGCTGAACTTGCAGACCAAATCTATATTGCAGTTGAGTGCTTGTCCTACGGCACCACACCAGGACTCCACACGACTCCATTAAGGGAAATTATAAATAAAGGAGAGCACCTTTCCTTTTAAAACAAATACACAATCAGACATTGACTGAATGGACATTAACTGGTGCACTTGACAGTACTTAACAGCAATAATATGCTTGGTTATGCCTTTAACTCTGTCTTTCTAAATCCTATACATCCATCAAGTATCAGTTCAGATGCTACTTCCTTCATCAAATCTTCCTCATTCCAACTCCCACACAAGAAGTGAAGTCTTCCTTTGTGTTCTTATAATAGTTTGCAAGATTATTTGAATATTTATTATAGTAAGTTTTGTGTTTATCTGATTTTCTCTATTAAAATGCAATCCACTTTAGAGCAGGGTCCTTATATTGGTCCTCACAGCCCTTATCATTAATACTTAATAGTTAACTGAATTGAAAAGGCTTGGATTTAAAATGTGATACCTGAAGTCTTAAGCCTCAGTCTACTGCCTCATATTTTCTCCTATTTTCTCAGCTTCTAAGCTTTTTTCTTGGCTACCAACTACAGAAGTCTACCCAGTGGTACTTTATCACTCCCAAAATAATTCTTAAAAAGGGGAAGAAAAGTAATATTAGAAAAATTGGAAGCAATCCAAGTGACCAACAAGAATGGTTACATGTACTATAAAACACTCGTTTAATGGAAAATGATGCATGAAATGAAAACTGATTATTGAAATCATGTAAAAATATGAGGACAATCCAAAAATGGCAAGAGGAAAATGTAGAGTATTAAATTTTATCTATACTACAATTAGGCAAAACAGTAACAACAACAAAACAGATGAGGACCAGATTGGGGGAAAAAAAAGCAATTTTTTGTTAGTGTAGAATTGTGGTCAATTTCTTATTTTAAAAAATGTTTCATATTTATCTTATTTGTGCTGACATACAGTATCAACACTTCTCCCCACAAGGGCAACTCTTCCTTTTAAAGGGAAACGTGACCAACATGAAAATATGTAGTCAATTACATTTCTAAACTTGATAAAGGTAGAACAGTGGTTCACAATTAGGAGTGATTTTGGCCCATCTTCCCATTTGTCAATGTCTGAAGACATTTTGGGTTGTCACAACAGCATTGTTGTTGTTGTTGTTGAGTGCCATTAAGTCAATTCCGACCCATAGCGATCCTGTATAGGGTTTCCAAGGAGCAGCTGGTGAGCTTGAACCTCCAACCTTGCAGTTCACACAGCTTTGCAGTTCGACACATTAACCCACAGTGCCACACCAGGACTCCAGTATTGGAAAGGGGAAAAACTATTGGGAATGGGGAGAACTATTGGCTTCTACTTGGGAAGAAGCCAGGGATGCTGCTAAACATAAAACAGTGCACCGCACATCCTCTCCCCATCAGAAAAAAAGTTATCCAACCCAAAATGTTAATAGTGCTGCCGTTGAGAAACTCTGGGACCTCCAGAAACTCACTGTCTAGAATAGTGCATGGAACACAGGAAGCACTCAGGACTTGTTTGAATGAACATACACCATCCTGCCTTTCTTCCTGTGTTTCACCTTGACATAGCAAACTCTCCATGAAATTTTTTTTTTATCTTGTGCTCAGTCTTCTAGTAAACTAATGTTGGAAGCATCACAGCATCAATTCTTTAAACATTATCAAAGGCATTATCAGAGTAATGACTTGTAAAGACACCAGAATGTATTGCACTGAACTTTCCAAAACTTTTAACTGCTAGTAGTAACTTAAAAAGCAAATACAGCTTATTCTAATAAAATGCATGATTAACAACAAAAACATACTACAAAACATAGTTGAAAATGCTACCCATTTCAAAAATGAGTACATCAGAATTGCTTAGAATATAAAAATGGCTTCTTAAAGTTTGCTATATTGAATTACCTAAAATGGGGCTACAACGTGCCCAGTGAAGGAGGCTTCCTGTGGAGCCTCTGCATTACATAAGACCATAGGTGGAATCCTGAACCCCATTCAGAATCTTCTGAGGTGGGAAATTTCCACTTGAAAGGACAAGCAAACCAG